TGAATGCAGGGTTACTGAGTCTCTCATTAGCACAGCACAGTTAATCCACTGCAGTCCAAGGTTCTAGGGGGAGGAGTGGGAGCTGAAGATCAACAGCAATACTAGGTCCAGGAGGTGAGGGGTCCCAGAGGGCAGCACCAGGGTGGTAGGGGCATGGAAGAGGCCAGCCTGGCCTGGCTCTGCATGCCTCTGGAGGTCTTGTGTCCTGAGGCAGATGGCAGGACAGCAGAGGCGTGGAAGGGGTAGGCTTGGGGGGAAGGCCTTGTGCACCATTGGCAGTCCTGTGTCCCATGATGCATGGCAAAACAGTGGGGGTACAGAAGGAACAGGCTGGGGGTGTGTCCAGCCTTGCACGCTTCTGACAGTCCTGTGTCCCACAGTGCAAGACAGAATAGCTAGAATATTTTTTGATCTTTCCAATGTTTGCAAGAGAAAAGTGAACCACAGATGTTTACAGAAGTGAGAAAGAATTTCCCTGAGCCCCATATTATCAGAGGAGTGAATCTGTCAGTCTTTGAAAGAATAATATTTTTTTGAGATAGGATCTTGCTATTCATTATGCTGTTCAGACTGTTTTTTGAATTCACTATGTAGCTCAGGCTGGCCTTGAACTCCTGGCAATTTTCCTGCCTCAACATCAAGTACTGAAATTACAGGTGTGCACCACTATACCTGGCTGAAAGAATAATTCTTACTAAATATGTAAAAGTGAATCTTGTCTCTCTCATTTGTGAGATGTTGCAAATAAGAAAAATATCCTTAAGTAATATACTATTAATCAACTAATCAGCAAGTATTTGCTGAGCCTCTAATTTAAAATGATGGTATGTAGAACAAGGGACGTGGGACATTTTTAATGAGATAGGATAAAAGAGAAGAAAAGATGTATGTCTATGACCTATGGAAACATACAGGAACATCAGGTAGGAAAGACATACCCATAGGAAGCTAGCAAAAGATTAATTTAAAACAGTGAATAGTAATCATAAAATGAAAGGAGTTGATATTCACATCATAAAATGTAGACAGGGTGAGACTGTTTGAGGCCTATATTGGTGACCAAAAATTTTATCAAGATGAAACTTAGCCTGGAATTTGGAAGGATTTGATCTATATGAATGGAGACTCTGGGTTCAAGAATGAAGAAAGGAGGGAAGCAAGGAAGTGATGCATATTTAAGAAATTGTGTATCACTCAAGCACATCTTGAAGTAGGTTGATCATTCTTTCAAGGGGCAACAAGCTGGGGATGACATAGTGAAAGAATCCTGAAATCTGGTGACAGTGTTAAATGGCAATCATATGTAATTATTCTAGATAGGGCTTTTTGGTTGCAAATGAACAGACTCCACTCAAACTACCACAAAGAAAAAGGGGATAAGAGAATTACAATATTATAGCAGGAGATCTGTTGTACACTCAAGACTAGTTCATGAGCAGGAAAACAAGGACCCTCTGGATGACTTAGAGCTACATCATCTCAGCTTCCTTCTTTAGTATCAAGATTTTTATTTTCAACATCAATCCTTCACTAACTACACTCTTTTTCCTTTTCTGGTTAAATGTTTAAGAAAAAATGAAACTCTTAAGTGCCTGGTCAGGTGATGCATTAATTGGGTTAGGCAGAGTATCCACTACAGTTCAATCAACCAATATTCTAAAACAGGAACCACTCAAGGGTTCTCCCTGTATTGAGAGATTAGGCAAAGCAGTCTAAACTAGAAAAGAAATAAATTGAAAATTCCCAGAACCATTAGACATGCAGGAAACATTCAATATGTTCTGTATACCTTTGAGAAAGTCCTGATTTGCTTCTCTGCTTCTAGAAAGGATTTACCCACATTGCTTTCTGAAAGAGCTGTGAGATTCAGAAAAGCATTTGTCCTAAATTTAATGTTGATTCCACTATCTTACAACTTCAATTTCCCACCTGCAGAATGGAGAAAATCAAACCTACTTATTGGGATTGTCTGGACCATAAATGAGATCATGTAGATGTCATTCCCTGCTTTGTTCAAGATGAAGGCGTAGTAATTAAGATTGCTTTCATTCTTTTGATATGTTACAAATAATTTATCATAGGAAATTATTTGCAATGTATTTTTACTTAACTGCACAAATAATAATTAACATATCAGTATTATAAAGCAAACCATATATATATATATATATATATATATATATATATTCCACTGAAATATTTTACTATATGTCTTTAATAAACAAAAAGTCTCTCAAGAAATACATAACTACAGTGCCATTATCTCACTCCATACATTTAAATAATTCCTTGATATCACCGATACTACCTCTATGATAGATTTTCTTTTGCAGTCTCAAAAATACCTTTCTATGGTTATTTAGTTTGGGTGAAAATCCAAAAAAGAGTTCACACATTGCATTGAGTTATGTCTTTCACATTTTTATCTGCCTGTAACTATGCTTTCTGATTTTCTATGACGTGTTTAATCATGGGGTCATGATTGCTATAGAGCTTTGCACCACAGAATTGGGCTGATGTTATCGATGACAGTAAGTTGTTCACTCTGGTTTTTGACTCATGCATGAGTGACTCACCTTTACTCAAGAGATTCAGTGGTGCTTATGATTGCTACCTGTCAGAAAATGCAGACAGAAGCCAGTTACCATTCTATCTTTTAGAAATTTATTAACAATGCCTTTAGTTATATGTATCTTTGATTGAAGATGTTCACATACTTTTAATAAAAAAAGTAGATTTCTTGTCTGACCTACATTGTAAACTAGAAATAAAAAAGTTTGAAATGGCTAATGAATAGAGAATAAACTAGAGGAAAATGGAACTTTTATATTCTTTTGTAATTGTTTAAAATGAAAGCAAATGGGCACACAGAATCAGGGGTTTGGGGGGTGTTCAAAGAATCAGAGCCCTTTCTTCCCTACCTCAGTTAGAAACACAGCTCTAGTTAGACATCAGATAGACAATAATAAAAATAATGACTTCTATGTTTGGAGAGTGTGTCTTGGTCTATAGCAATAATCTATAGTAGATATACCATTCCCCTCTGAGGGACATTTAGGATGACCTCAGGCCTCCCTGAGCCCAATACACAAGCCAGATTTTTTCCCCCAAATTTGCTACTTAACAACTCATTCCCCACTTCCCTGGCAGCAGGAGCAAAGTGAGCGAGCAGTCTGGGTGCATCTGACAGTTGTCTAGTCAATACGGAAACAAGTGGAAGTACAGGGACTCACTAAAGTCATGCTCACTTAAGTAGAACCCGCATTAAACACAGCCTTTTTAGCAATAAACAGCTTCATTTAGTTGGTCCCAACCACCTTAAGATTGCTAGCAGCAATTAAGATTTATAGCAGTTCACATTCCACTGAGCAAACATTTGTTGGGTATGTGTCCATCCCAGTTCCTGTGGATGCCAAAATGAAAAAAAGGCACACTGCCCACGAAAAGCCCCATTCCCTTGTGATTTTCTAAGCTAATGCATACGAGATAAGAGTGTGGCCCACCAGACTAGGTGAACAAGGGAGTTGTATCAGGCACCTGTGTGTGATGCTGAACTCTAGAAGAAGAGATGTCCCCTGCTGCAGGGAACTGGTTAGTTGAGAGCCTCCAGCCAGCAACAGCTCTCTTGAAGTTCACCTCAGCTTTCAAGCCATGGCCGTAATCTCTTGGGTGGTTTCTGCCAATGACTGGGTCAGGCAGTAACAGAAGTCACACTACTCTTGGAGTGATCTCAGCCAAGGCAGTAAGACAAGTAGATGGACATTTCCACCTAAAACAGGACTCCTCCACTGGGCAATCTATGCTCCCAGACTTCCAAGTGGCCTGGTAAAGGATGACCCAGTGGCCTCACTTTGCTTACCAGGACTGACAGTTTCTCAGGACAGGACTTCTAATGCTAAATCTGCAAAGGTTGGTCACCCATAGTACATGGACTTTTTTTCAGGTCTGCATTAATGTTTGACAGTTTCTCTGCCCAACTCTGCCTCCTTCTCCTTTTCCTTTCACAGGTGTTACTCTCTAATAAACATTTTATGCTTTTAACTTTGCTTCTGCTTCTGCTTCCCAGACACTCAAACCAAGATAAAGGCACAAATAGCTTACAAACCAATAAGGACCTAAATGTGCACTTCAAGTGAAGATAAGGCTGAAAGAGAGTAGGAGGGCAAGGGAAAGATTAATTTGACAATTAGAGCTACTCCTGAAGGATAAAGTTTTCAATGGGCAATTTTTTTCTGCATCCTTTGAAAGAAAGAGGAGGCCTATTAAAGTACACACAATGCCTTAAATTTCTTTGCATTCTATTTGAATATTCAAAGCGAAGGTTTTACAAAAATGAAAAAAAAAAAAAACAACAAGTTCCTTGTCTCCATATCTCTCCTGATATGTGCTTTGCTATCTCTCTAATAAGGAAAATGAAAGGAGCATGAGCTTTTCTAGAAGTATTCTTAGAGTCATGAGCCATTGTGAATTATACAACAGGTGGCTATACTTAATAACAATATATTGTATTCTTGAAATACACTAAGAGGGTGTATTTTAAGTGTTCTTGCCATAAAAAAAGATACGTATGTGAGGTAGTGCATATGCTAATTAGCTCAAACTAGCCATTCTATAATGTATACATTCATTTTGAAATATTATATTGTACACAAAAATGTATAATTTTTATTTATGGATTTTAAAAAATGAAAAAAAAATTAAAGACACCTCTAAGCTGAGAAAAAAAGAGAGAGAAAGTGCAAGAATGTGGACAGAATGTTTTTGGTAGAGAAAGAGGAAGGCGCCTTTCACAGCCCAGGTAGGATGGGCAGGAGACAAGCTTGGGGTGCTGAATTTAAGGAGGCACTCATGAATTCAGAGTCAGAGTGTTCACGAACCTGAGAGTGGACGCCTCCTTGATTATGGCACCTCAGTAGTCCAACTTGCTTTCCCTCCGTTCCAGCCCTGGCATCCTTAATATTAAGCATCTTCTGCAAAAACATTCCTCTTTCCTGCTCCAGGTACAAAGCCATTGTCCGGCCAATGGATATCCAGGCATCCCATGCCCTGTTGAAGATCTGCCTCAAAGCCGCCTTGATCTGGGTCATCTCCATGCTGCTGGCCATCCCAGAAGCTGTGTTTTCTGACCTCCATCCATTCCATGAGGAAAGCACCAACAAGACCTTCATTAGCTGTGCCCCATACCCACATTCAAATGAATTGCACCCCAAAATTCACTCCATGGCTTCCTTTCTGGTATTCTACATCATCCCATTGTCAATCATCTCCATCTACTACTACTTCATTGCCAAAAATCTGATCCAGAGTGCTTACAATCTTCCTGTGGAAGGAAATATCCATGTCAAGAAGCAGGTGGGTACTAAGGATAGATTCATTTCCTTCTGGAAACTTGAACCCTTGCATTTCTTTTGTTCCCCATTGGCAAATACAGTACTTAGGTAACCCAGTTGCTTGATTTTGCAACAAAATGAGGTGGAATCTGTGGCCAGATGCTTCTTTAATTCCAATCACATTGTTTGGCTAGGAAGAGTTATCACCATATGGAGGCAAAGTAGGGGGAGGGAGAAAATCATGTCCGTTGAAGAAAAAAGCAGTAAATTGCTTAAGAAAGGTTCACACTGATTTGAGCTCAAATCTAAACATGACTTACTCTCTTACTGTCTCTGTGCCTCAGTCTTCTTACCTGTGGCATAGATTTCCACATCAAGGTGAGTGGAGGATTACAGGAGACAGCATATGCAATGCCTAGCAGCAGCATGATGCCCTCCATATGTGTTAGACCCTCACCCACTATGCACCCTAATAATTTCACTCTTCTGTTCAAATAATAGAAACTGAGAGCTCTGGCTTTCTTTTGTCAGGTCTTCTTGCTTTTAGCTTAGATGCAGATCTTGTGATATTTATGATGAAAAAATAGGATGAATAGCCAACTCAGTTGAAGTCTTCAACCTTTCAGAATGTTTTTCACTTTTGTTTTTGTCCCAATTGTCAAGGAAGAGTGGGCAGCTGTCAGCAAAACTGTTTCCTTCCTTGAAAGTGCTCTCTCTGGCAATCATGCATTGCACCCCAAATTCCTTAATGAGAAACAAGTTTCCCCTTGAGGTCACATAGGGAGTTGGGAGCAAAGGGAAATATTCATCCTACTTTGTCTAATCTTCTTATATAGTCCAGAAATAAATTGAGATTATACATTAATAATGAAATTTACATTGGCTTGGCCTATGAGGAAGAACAAAACTGGGTGCTATTTTGAGCATCAGAAGGAAGAAATTAACTGTGGAGCAACAAAAGGCATGAAGTTCTATGGCTGATAAACTGCATCCCCACTCTCCCGAGGAAAAGAGAGCACTTACTAGAATTTCATTGTGCAACCCATTCAAGCATGTAATCAACTTTGCTTAAAGATCTGGTCTCAGCAGCCTGCTCTAACTCTGTTCTACCTCATGGCTTTCTGTTTCCCTGCTCATCCATCTGTGTGTTTCTGACTTGTTCTCTGTCTCTATTGCGTTCCTCCTATTTTTTATACTTTCTCTCTTCCTTCCTTGCTGAGTTCTTTGTCTGTGGCTGTATGAGCTTGTGTTTGTTTTGCTTAATGCTTTTTCTTGTCTGTTATTTATTTATTTATTTATTTATTTATTTATTGGTCTGACTCTTTAGCTCCCTTTCTCAGATACTGTTCCCTGCTCACCCGACTTCTGTGTGTTCTCTCCTCAGATTGAATCCCGGAAGCGACTTGCCAAGACGGTGCTGGTATTTGTGTGCCTCTTTGCTTTCTGCTGGCTTCCCAACCACATTATCTATCTATACCGTTCCTACCACTACTCTGAAGTGGACACCTCCATGCTCCACTTCGTCACCAGCATCTGTGCACGCCTCCTGGCCTTCACCAACTCCTGCGTGAACCCCTTTGCCCTCTACCTGCTGAGCAAGAGTTTCAGGAAACAGTTCAATACCCAGCTCCTCTGTTGCCGGCCGAGCCTGATGAACCGGTCCCACAGCACCGGCAGAAGTACCACCTGTATGACCTCTTTCAAGAGCACCAACCCTTCGGTGGCTACCTTCAGCCTCATCAATGGAAACATCTGTCATGAGGGGTACGTGTAGACTAACCTTTGACCTTGGCCCCTAGGAGCTCCGCATTTTGCTTTCTGGCTGGGCAGGAGCCCTGAGTCTGTAGTCTTGGCGCCCTCCAAAGAGCCTTCAGAAAGCTCTGGAGCTGTGCTAGTGTGTGGTGGGTGGGTGGGAACAGCCCAAGGGGATCACTGTTGTGTTTCAAAGTAAGCCTTTAAGGGTTGGATTTCCCTTTCAACTTGTGAATGCTTCTTCTAATAGAGAACAAACTTTCCCTTTTTTTAGAAAAGGGAACAAATAGGAAATTATTATTTTAAACTTCAAGCCCAGATACTACAGGGTTGACCAATTAAGTCACAGACACTGTATTAGAACCACCAGCTTGTGTAGCAGAGAAACCATGCATTGACTACTTTGTGATGACCTCACCTTCTCATTGCTTTAAGCAGAAGGTAATACTTTAAAAAGCTGACTTGACACTTTTTTCCAGGAATATCATTGTACATAAACCAAGAAATAACCTTCATCTGTATTCCTTGAAAGTGCCTCATGGATGAGAAGCGGTCTCCAAATTTATAATAATTGAAACCAGTTTAATGTAAGCCAAATCTCTAAATATTGAGTTTTTAAAAGATGTAATGGGGAATGCAGGAGAAATACTCAATGTGTAATTTTAAGGCGAAAATACAACTGAATACATAGCCACATACATAAAGATTCACAAGTGACTCTAGATTGATATCTCACACTTTAACTTCTTATTTCTTAAAGTCTTGATTGCTGTTACCAGTTTTAATCATGATGATGCCATTTTACCATAGAAGAAAAATCCTTTAGGAAAAAAAAAAAACTTGACCATGCAATCAACTCATCAAATGTTTATAAAAGCATAAAGAATAGTATTTATTCTTGGTGTACAGGTTTTGAGCCCAGTGTGTTTACTTAGATTTGACTATCTTTGTCTACTATGTTGAGGCACAGCCTTTAACATAAGAAAGGAATCACATCTGAAGGAAAACAGAAACTTGTTTACCTTGAAGCTGTGCTTCTCCTAAAGCTTATGGGAGAAAAGGAACACAATCTCAATAACATATATTTTTGTCTAAATATATATAAGAGGGGTGTGAGGGGTTTCATTTTAAGAACTGGTTAATAAACAGGTACAGATTTATTTCTACTTTAAAAAAGTAATTATGAAATAGCCTATGTGAAGAAAAAGACTGGGCTGAAATCTGTTTTCTGTCTGCGAGTGAATAAAATTGGCTCTAAAAAGATTAGCTTATCTTGCTGTAGAAGCCCCATTTCATATTTTTCTTGATTTGAAGATGGGCACGTTCTGACAGATTTCAAACTTGTTGAGTCACTTTTGGATGAATCCAAATATTGCAAGTGTGCCCCAAAATGTAGCCCTTACATCGTATGCAATTTTAGTTCAGAATTCGTCTCTGTAGGTGAGATGGAAACAATCAACTCTCAAAAAAAAAAAAAAAAAAAAAAAAGAAGAAAAAAAAAAGAAAAGAAAGAAACAATCAACTCTCTTTTCCACATGACACAGATAAAAAGATTTTTGTCTCCGTCAAGGAAATTCTCGTTGCTTGTGGAACTTTAGGAGTTTGGACCCAAACAAGTTGCAAAGATGTATTTACAGTTGTATTAGCTGACACAAAACCTCTTGACCCCCCTTTCCACTTGCTCTTATATTCTGCAGACATCTGCTTTCCCAGTAGTCTATAATTATATCACACAGTTTGAAAAGCAAGACAGACAGTATAGCTGAAAAGACCACAAGTTCTTGACATGCCAATAATGTGTCTGGCTATATGACCTTGGCTCTCAATTTCCCTTCTCTGGACTCATTTTCTCTTCTCGATAATAAGAAGACAGTGTTAAATACCCTCAATCACTAAAATTCTCTGAGTCTCTTCCTTGTTTCTAGTTCTGTTTCTTTGGTTTGGCTTTGTTTTTTGAGACAAGATTTTGCTATGTATTCCAGGGTGGCCTTGAATTTACTATGTAGCCCAAGCCAACCTCAAACTCACAGCAGTCCTCCTGCTTCAGCCTCCCAAGTGCTGGAATTATAGCCATGCACCACCAAGTCTGCTTTCTAATTCTGTCTCGGAAGCATTTATATAGCCCACTTGCTTGTGATCACCTTGTTTTTGCTTACCTTGCAACACTTAACTTCTTGGAATTCTTCAACCACCATTCCCTACTCATGCATACATTAGCACTATAAAAGGGGACAGACCGTTCTGTGGCTTCCAGGAACTCCTTGGAATCATGCTCATGAATGATGCTCCTTCCATGAGCTTGCAATGTTTTGGAGTTGGAGTGGGAAGAAAGATAAGGGAACATATTGCTACATCTTCTCATTATTCAAAGAGTACTCTTCCTACTTCCTTTCTTCAACTTCATGTATCTATTATCTTCAACTACTGTTCATAACTTTGCCCTTGGCTTCCTTTCAAAACTCATGGCTATAAATGATTCCATACCTGGTTAGTTGCTCACATACACAGAATTCTGAATACCTAGATATCTGGTGTGCAGAATCTGGGTACTATTTTACACATCTCTGATCTGTCTGCTTCCAGGGATATTTTGGGAGTAAGACTCATCTTCTTGCCTCCTGCAGTTAACATTTTGGCTCAGATTGTGTGTCTCTTTCCCAACATCTGGAAAAACAGTGAGAAGACTGAGCTCTGTGTGTCCTCAGGCAAATCTTATTACTTCCTTGAGACTCTCAAGTGAAAGTATTGGAGGAGACGTTTGTCACCCATTGACCAAGAACTTGCAAAACTAATTTTGTCAATTAACTACTGGCTTCCCTCAGATTTTCGTAGTAGGAAGGACTTAATTGGGCCCTTATCTAGGGAAATCAAAGTTTTATTTCACCTCAAGAACTTAAAATCTCATGAGAGAGCCCCAAGACCCATGTAGTGGCACCTCTCAACAGGGTAGAATGTGGCAAGGGCTGGAATTAACACATTTCACGCCTGGCTTCCAAACATAATCACGTTTAGCATTTGTGTCTTTGGTGAGGGAAAAAATCAATTTTTCTGTGGAAAACCATCTGTGTTTATTCAATTGACAGATACAACCTTTCAATCTATCTTAAATTGAGCCTCCCTGAGGCAGGAAGCTCAACAGTGATAGATTAAGCAATAAACAAAGCAGTCTTCCCACCAACGACTGCTGCAGACAGGGAAGGTGCAGCTGCTGTTGGGAGCGATATTGCACAGTGAGATGATCCTCCCTGCGTTGTGCAGACAAGGCCCTACCCTGATGAATGATTTTATGATTCCCCATAAATATGAATGGCTAAGCCCTGTTCTTCTGGCTGCTCTCACCTTTCTACCGAAACTGGCTTTCTGCCTCATTAACAAGCCCTGGGTTTCCCTCTTTGCCCCATAAACAATTTGGTTTCCTTTGGAGGATGGAAAACCCTTAGGTAAACACAAACAACTTACAGGAGGCTGCAAATGAACCAAGCTCGGTTTGTGAAAATGCACGATGAACAGAAGTAAATGAACTTGAACAGGTTACAAATTCCTTGTTTGCACCAGGAGTAGCAGTCAGTCATTGGTTTCTGAGTCTCTTCATATATCAGATGGTTCCTGTAAGAGCTAGCTTGGTTTGGGGAAGATACACTGAATGGTATCCTCATCTGTGGACCAAAAGGTGGCTGTGTCACTTTTCTTAGAAGCCAGAAACAAATCCCTGGCAAACCTGACTATATGAGAGTTGAATGAGTAACATCTATTTGTGTCATGATAAAATTGCAGTGATACAAACTTTCTCACTGCTTGTGCCCCTCACATTGGGAGGCTGAGGTTGGAAGAAGAACTTAGAATTAGCCCTGGGTTTCTTCAGGGAATGGAGCACATTTGTATAAGTTCTAACAACATTTTCATGAAGTGGATTAATAGCTAAAAACGGGAATTCTTCACTCTTGGGGCCAGACTCTCTGTGGTATTTATTCAATGAAGGGAGTCTTTCATAAGTTTTACTTCATTTTGTGTCTGAGTGTTCCTTCCAGTCCCACTCAGGAACACTGCCACCACAGTGAAATATTGTGCTCTCTCTTCCTATAATTCTGGCCTCCAAAGAAATCTTTTGTTAGGTGATGATGGGATAAGCATTAGCTCTAGCTAAATATATCCAGAGCAATCAACAAATGACACTCTGAGAACAAACTTTGCTAAAACCTCATATTAGTAATGCATTCAGTGGAAATCAAATAATTTTTTTAAAGTTTCAGTGTGATGCGTGTATTAAATTTAAGAGCATTTAGGTCATAATATTACATGTCCATGATTAATTCAAAAGAATATATTACATTTACCTAGTGTTCATGCTCTATAAAGCACTGTTATACTTATTACCTTGCCTAATCCAACCTTCCCTGACCGCCAAAGAGCTGCTTTACATCCTTTACTATGGGCATCTATAAATATTAAATTCACTTACTAGTGACCATTAGATTAAAAGACCCATGGACCTATGAGCCTGAAACCTGAAACCGTCAATCTTAGAGCATATTTGATTTACAAAAAGGCAATTTCATCTAGTTCAATTTAGTCCAATTTAATTTTGTTCGTCATGCTTCATTCTCATGGCCCGTTTTGTGACATGTGATATGAAAGAACAGGGCTGATCACTGTCTCCCTGTACACAGGATATTCTGTTGCCCCTGGAAGTGAGTCTGGGCACAAGGGAGGAACAGGGTCATCACTGGCTGCTGCAGGAGAGGCATAGTGGTAGGAACAGTACTCCACGTCATAGTGAAATAAAAGGCCCAGAAAGGTGGGACCACTGGGGGCAACACCACAGGACACAAAATGTGTTGCATTTGTCCCAAACCTACATGGAGTCATGTGGCTCTGGAAGTACTGGGAAAGAAGCGACTCAATTTTACCAAGCATCATCATTCCAAGTGCAGTACTGGACATATAAAGTGGTGGCTCAGGGAGATTACGTAGTGATCATAAGGTCATATGGAATAGTTGAATGGCACAATGTA